GACAGTAGAGACAACAAAGATGACAAAGACAGTAAAGACAACAAAGATAAAAAAGACAGTAGAGACAACAAAGATAACAAAGACAGTAAAGACGGCACTGACATTGAAGGTAGGTGTATATATTATTATCATTCTGTAAGAATGATTTGATGTTGTCCACGAAAAATGAGTTTTGCTAATGTCAAGTAGCAGACTATTTCATTATGAATTGGTACCAAATAATGATAAACGTAAAATCTTGCACTGACCTTTTTACATTAGCATGCATAGCCAACCATTCCTTGCCTCTTCGATGGAGTTTGAGAAACCTACAAGGGAGCAAACGGGGCAAACTGTGTTTCTCCAGCCCATCCACAGAGTAGCTAGGAAGGCTGCTATACAGGCCAGGGACGCTTGGCTACACAGTACATTTACTTACTAATATTCACATTATTTTTAGAACAATCTCCAGCCTCACCACCCTTAGCTCTGCCTTTTTCATTTCATTTCTTTATTTCTTGTGTAAAATAGTGTATGTTATTTAATAACATTAGGTGAGAAATCAAAAGAAACAACAAGCGAAGCCGTTAAAGAAGAAAGCAAAGAGAGTCRGGTCATCAAAACAGAAACCAAAGATGAAAAAGAGTCTGACAAGAAAACAGATGACGTCAASCCTAAAATAGACCCACCAAAAACTGACACTGAAAAACAGGACAAGAAACCAACACAGCCTGCTAAACCACTAGAAAAGAAATTTATGTTTAACATTGCTGATGGAGGTTTTACAGAGCTGCATACTCTATGGGAAGTAGAGGAAAAGAGGAAATGTGATGATATATGGTGGAGAAAGCATGATTACTGGCTGTTAGCTGGTGTTGCTTAGTATCCTTGAATCAGGAAGCTGTTAGTTTTAGTACTTTTAAGTAAAAATTCCCGTAAATAGATGAACATGTTGAAAGTCACATGTATATTACTGCCATTCAAAACTCCAAACCGTTTAATAAGAATCGTTCAACTTCAGACCTTTCTTTCTCAATCAAGGAATTKGGCTGGAGGTTTTTCATAGTTTCGATATCTTGTGTTCGGTTGAAATGGCCAAATCATAAATAACAGTGATATTCAAGAACTGGAAAAGTCATCTCCGATWTAAAAAAAAGAGTTATCGTGATTTTGAATATTAAATCATTCCTTAGTAGACGTCACTTTTTTTTAAGTAGACGTCACTCTTAAGACGTCACTTTTTTTTAATTAAAATTTGCATTTCCGATTTTCAAATATTTCTAAGTTAAAAGATATAAATTTGAATGTTTTTTYCCTTTGCAGAAGTGCTTATGATGAGGTTCTCTTTCGAACAAAATGACTTTCTAGAAGGTTTCAGTTACACTTTAAAAGGGTGTATGCCCAAGCTCTATTCGGCATGTCTTTCGTCCAGTTTCTTCTGAAGCTTTTTGTTTTATCTTTGTTTTTTGTAATCCAACATGTATGGTTGTTGTTCTTTGACAATGCTTGTAGCCATGGATATGCTAGATGGCAGGATATAGCAAACCATCGCATGTTTACAGTTATTAATGAACCATTTAAGAATGGTAAGAACCACTCTTAGTAACATGAATCATTTCACAAGTACTATCACATTTCAGATCAGTTACATCATTAGTTAGTAGTTGGGGTGGTG